TTTGTTGCAGGACCTTTGTTCGAAGAGGATTTTTGGCAGGGGTTATGAGCGTGATGGGCTTTACTACTTTGGGGAACCACCAGGAACGAGTCTTCAAGCTTCTGTCCTACCTACTTCTAGTGTTTATGATGTTTCTTTTCGCACTTTTAGTCTGTGGCATGCACGTTTGGGGCATGTAAATTTTCAATATCTATGTCTATTGTTTCCTTCGTTAAATAAAGCATGTAAGAACCATAAGTTTCAATGTGAAGTTTGTGAGCTTTCTAAACATACTAGAACTAGCTATATTTCTCATATGAGTCGTGCTCCTAGTATGTTTGATCTTATTCATTCTGATGTCTGGGGCCCTTCCCCAGTTACTGCTTTCTCTGGACATCGATATTATGTGACATTTATTGATGATTATTCTCGTTGTACTTAGGTTTATTTATTGAAAAAGAAATCTGATGTGTTTCTTTTATTTAGCCAGTTTCTTCAAATGATCAAAACCCAGTATAACACTTTTGTCCGTAATATTCATTCTGATAATGGATGAGAATATGTTTCGAATGAGTTCAGGTCTGAACTTAATAAAAAGGGGATTTTACATCAACTCACTTGCCCCTATACTCCTGAGCAAAATGGTGTGGTTGAACCCAAAAACCGTCATCTTATGTTTGTGGTCCGATGTCTTCTGAGTAGTATGCATGTGGCTAAATTCTATTGGCACATGGCTGTTCTTACAACTGCTTTTCTGATTAATAGTACTCCCAGTCGAGTTTTGGGTGGTAAGGCACCACTTCAGATTCTCCAGCCTGATTATACATTGTTTCACCTTCTGCCTCGTGTTTTTGGCTGTACTTGTTTTGTTCATAACCGTAGTCCTTCTCGTCATAAACTTGATGATAAATCTATTAGGTGTATTTTCTTGGGTATTCTACTATGTCAAAGGGCTATCGTTGTTATGATCCTGTGACCAAACATATGTATCATTCTCTTGATGTGACATTTCATGAAACTGTTCCTTTTTATAGTACTAATTCTGTGGTACATGATTCTCTCTCTTGTGATCTTGAGAAGGAGATTTCTGCTATTGCCCGTCCTGTTCCTCTCTTTGAAAATCACACTGTCCTGGAATCTCCTTCTCCATCCATGCAGGGTTCCCCTCCACCTTTGCAGGTCTACTCTCGTCGCTATTATACTCAACCTCCCCTGCCAGAATCATCTTCAGAACCAGGTCCAGGTAACTCTCCTTCTCCTATTGCTCCTACAATTCCTGAGCATACCTCCCGTTATCCTACCCGTGATCGTCATCCTCCTAATTGGTATGGTTTTTCTAGTAGCACTAACCACCCTATTTCCCAGTATGTCTCCTATGATGGTCTTTCAGGTGCATATAAATCCTTCCTAGACAAGATTGGGACCGTTTCTATTCCTCGATCTGTGTCAGAAGCCCTCCAGGATCCCAATTGGGTGTCTGCCATGACAACAGAAATGGATGCTTTACACCATAATAATACATGGGAACTTGTTACTTTACCTTCTGGGGAGAAAACGGTTGGCTGCAAGTGGGTCTTTAATGTGAAGTACTTAGCCGATGGTTCTATTGATCGGTATAAGGCTCAGTTGGTGGCAAAAGGCTTTACTCAGATTCCGGGCAAAGACTTTAGTGCTACCTTTGCTCCTGTGGCTAAGTTGACGTCTGTGCGACTACTTATCTCCTTGTCTGCTGCCCATTCTTGGCCTCTGTATCAGTTAGATGTCAAGAATGCATTTCTTAATGGAGACTTACTTGAGACTATATATATGGATCCACCCCCTGGATTTCGGGCTGAGGGGGAGTATGCTGGGAAAATCTGTAGGCTACGGAAGTCTCTTTATGGTCTGAAGCAATCTCCTAGAGCTTGGTTTAGTCGTTTCAGCAATGTTGTTTTATCCATGGGCTTTGTGCGCTGCCACTCAAACCATACTTGTTTTATTCGACGTCGCTCTGATGGTCGTTGTATTATGTTATTGGTATATGTGGATGATATCATTATCACAGGTGATGATGCTTCAGGGATTGCTCAGGCGAAACTTCATCTTCAAAAGTCCTTTGATGTGAAAGACTTAGGTCCTCTTCGATATTTTCTTGGAATTGAGGTTGCTAGATCCCGTTGTGGAATTTCTTTATCTCAAAGAAAATATGTTTTGGATCTTCTTCAAGATACTGGCATGCTTGGGTGTCGACCCGCTTCCACTCCTATGGACCCCAATCTTAAACTCTCTGTTGAGTCAGGGGAATTACTTTCAGATCCATCCGTGTATCAACGTTTAGTAGGTCGTCTTATCTACTTGACTAACACAAGGCCCGATTTGACATTTGCTGTCAGTGTGATTAGTCAATTCATACATGCCCCTCGCTCAGCTTATATGGATGCAATCTACCATATTTTGAGGTACCTTAAGTCGTGCCCTGGTCTTGGTCTGTTCTATGCCTCAGGAAATCAGTCTGGACTCTCATGCTTTACTGATGCAAACTATGCTGGATGTAAGACAGATAGACGTTCTACCTCTGGCTTCTGTACTTTCTATGGTAATCATCTCATATAATGGAAAAGTAAGAAGCAGGCTGTTGTTTCTAGATCTTCTGCTAAAGCTGAATACCGAGCTATGGCTCAAGGTACTTATGAGCTCCTTTGGCTTCAATCAATTTTGGGAGAGTTGGGTCTTGTACAGAAAGGTTCTTCAAGGCTGTTTTGTGACAATAAATCAGCCATTATGCTTGCTTCTGATTCTGTTTTACATGAAAGGTCGAAACATATTGAGGTAGACATTCACTTTATTCGAGAGAAGGTTCGATCGGGTATCATTAATCCTATTTTTGTTCCTTCTTTAGAACAGATTGTAGATGTGTTCACAAAGTCTGTTGGGCCTTCTCTTCTCCAGTCTTCCATCTTCAAGCTGGGCTTAGTCAACATATTTGCTCCAGCTTGAGGGAGAGTGTTGGAAATCTTATCTATAAGTTGACTCAACGATTATGGCAGATTTATTGGGTCTTCAATATAAGCTAATTTTTAGGGATTTTATTTTTATTCTGATTTGATTTGATTTGATTTTATTCTCTTTATTTTGATTTGATTTTATTCTCTTTTCCATATTTGTAATTTTTTGCTTGTATATAATGATAGTCAGGCTCTCAAATTGAGTACGCCAATTTTACCAAGTTACTTTTGGTTGCTTCTGAGATGCTCATCAAGCGGCACAGGGGAGGAGGGAGAGGATTCCACTTGCAGGTTTCAGGATTGAAACTCTCGCATGCATGGGAGCTTAAATTATTGCTAAACACGTATACAAGACCATCTTCCAACGGTCTTATACATGTGGGGTAGCTCTTTTCGGAACCCATGGAAGTCACGTTTTTTATTTCACCACTAGACAGATCTAACTCCCATACTTTTTTGCATGCCGTGCGCATTCTGTTTTCGTATTCCTCACCCCCAACCATGTAAATCACGTCATTCACACCGAAAAACCCCATGTTGCAGGGGAATTCAAGAGCCGAATGGATAGGGCAAAGAGTACCGTTGAAAGAAATTTTGTATACTGTGTAGGACACCTCTGCGTCGCCTACCCTTTGGGCAATAATAATAAGTTCAGCTTCACTAGTGGTAGAAGATCCTGCCATTTTTGGTTCTTCAAGGAGTGAAAACCGGAGGGGAGAATGGAGAGAGGAGAAAATTTGTGTTCTGTAACACAACACTCAAGAACATAAATTAACAAAGAGAAGAGAAGTAACTAATAACTTAAAGTTAAGATTGATAATGCAAAGCTTGTATATCTTTTATTTGAGGTTTTGGCCTCTATTTTATAAGAAATCTTGAATGGTTGAGTTCTTTTAGGACTAGCATTACTCGTCTCAATTAGAATGCATTTTATCCTTCCCCTAATAAAAGTGTTACCAAATTTGGGTTCGCCATGGTATATATTCCTAGTTTGGGCTTGAAATTGCACTATTCGGGCCTTCTTAATGAGTCTAGTCCATCGTGCCTAATTAACCCGGCCCATTCTTCATGTTGAGACTCAAGTTAAAAGTTGAATTATTTTCCCTCCACAATTTGCATAGACGGAAAGAGAAGTAATTATTTTCATAGACTGAAAAAGACCTAACCTGGTCTATTTGCAGAGATATGGCTGCTGTAATCCTCGGTAGCTTGAGGCGTTGGGATTTGGTTTGAGGCAGAATTTATAGAAGAGAAAATAGGAGTACTAGATTATTAGGGTTTACAAGGGATGGCAGGAGCTAGTTTTATTTTTTAATAGAGATGCATGATATCAAATTGGGTTAGGCTGGGTTGTTGGGCTAGTTGTACTTTCTAAAGAGAAAATAATATAACAAATGGATTGGTTTGGATTGTTGGGCTTTGGGGTTTTCCGTATTCAATTTGCACTACAATCTAAGATGTTTAAATTGTCCCTACTAGTAGGGATTATATTTGATCATTCATATTAAATTCAATTTGCACTACAATCCCCAATTTTATTTCTCTTTCCCTCTCTCCAAAAGTAATGCTGGAACACATGCAACTCATGTGTGCGAATCACACCCGGTTCCCCACCATCAAAAACCTTCTGATCTGGTTTGTTCTTAATAGCCATGAGAAAAGAGATTAATACTCTGCTTTCTCATCTTTGACTTTAGTTCATGGGAATTGCTTTAATCTAAATAGTCATATACCCACTAACCCACATATGTAAAAATTAAATGAACACAAAAAAGTGCCTGATGAGAGAAGTAAGCAAATGTTATACTCCTATACAATTGAGTACTATTAGCAACATTGATGCTAGTGATGTTACTTGGTGAATATGGTGTTAGAAAGCATCCTCTTAAAGGTATGCAATACAGAACCACCACCGTTGTTACAAGAAGCATAAATATGAAACAATATGCACTCACCAAAAATAGATTGAGAAACTTGTAAAGAAGATGCATTTCCAAGAGAAAAAAATTTAAGTATAGAAAAATTTTCCATGCCATCCAGAAGCATAAACTTCAATCTGTGGAATGATGCATCTGCTGTTACCAATTATAGCTAAGCTAAGCTGGTACAAGTTCAAAATCTGTCAGTACCCAAGAATAGATACAGACAAATCAAGACACTATTCTGCTACATCTACACTTGCAAAATTCTCAATTCTCAAACAAGTCCTGAATTAATGGATTTACCTACCTGGTGACATTTTCTAAAAAGAACACATATTCCACTCTCAATTAGAGCTCCAAACGGTTGAACTCTTTCAATGGTGATCTTTTGTCAATAGACTCGATACTGTCTTCAATCCCCTTTGATGAGGGGGAGAGCGTTGTGTATACAACAATTTCACTGGCTGAATTGTGGAGCTTGCCACTCCCAATCAAATTCCTTGCTGATTCGTTCTTCTCACAGTTTTGCAGTATTTTCGCTAAACTTCCCTTCAGTTCAACACCTTCGCGGGAAAATTGACTGAACTGGTCACAAATTCCATCAAGTTGAAGCAGTAAATCTTCCCTTTCCAATGACAGCTTCTTCTTAAGCTCTTTAACTTGGCCTTCCAAGCGCCTCTGCTCAGTTCCAGAATAATCCTTCAATTTCTCTTTTTCAAACCTGTCAGCTTCCAGTAAAGCTTCAAGTTGCTCTGCCTGTTGTTCCGAATGAGACAACTGTTCCTCAAGGTATATCAGTTTCTGAAGTGATTCATTAGCTGTCTTTTCCAATTCAGCAATTGTCCTATTCTTCTCTTCTATCTCTATCTTCTTCAGATTCTTTGCTTCTTCCTTCTCTTTCTGAAGATTTTCTATACTACTATCCTTGTCATGTGCAATAAGGAGGTAGTTTTCTTTCTCTTGCCTGAAGGCTTCGACTTCATCAAATTTCGAAGCAACCAACAATTCAAGTGAAACAATCTTCTGCTGGAACTCAAATATTGTTTTATCCATCTCCTTTACAATGCCAAGAAGGTTCTCTTTTTCTTGCTTAAGGACTTTCTGGCTTTCTTCAAGGTTTTCTGCAATGGATTTCCATTTTTGCAGTTCAAGTTCCGTTTGATTGACTTGTTGAATTTTCTTGGCCAATTCAGAATTTACTTCTCCCAAAGCATCAGAAAAGTTTCTGTTCTCCTCTTTCAGGGAATTTTCCATCTGCAGAACTTTTTCTTTTAAGCAAAGTTGAGATTCAGATGATTCATCAAGCATCTTCTTATGCCATGCAAGTTCTTCCTCCACAAAAATTTTCTGCTCTTTCTTTAGATTGAAGGACTCGTCCTCCTCAATTAGAGATGATACTTGCTCACCTTCCTGCTCAAGATCGACATAAATTTTTTTTGAAGCACTGTCCTTTATCTGCAATTGCTCTGTTACTAGTAAGATCTCTTCATTTGCTTTGTTGCAGAGCTGAAGTTCAGCAATCACATTGGACAGCTTTGAACAAGCAGCAGAAAATTCAGATTTCAATACCATAATTATCAGAGAAATCTCTTCATTCTGAACCTCCAGTGAACAATGGCAACCTTCCAACTCCATCTGGAGTTCCTGTATGTTTTTATCTTTACCCTTCAATTCAGATATAAACATATTCAAATCTCTTGTCAACTTTTTCAACTGAGAATTCCATTCAGCTTCTTTTTCTTTGAACAACTGCTCCAATCCTTGAAGCTTCTTTTGCAGCTTCTTTGACGAAGATGTAGCTCCAGCATTGGTGATTTGAGCCTCTCGAAATTCTTTAAGACACTCCCGCAATTCCTGATTTTCTTGCTGCAGGTTTGAATTTCTGTATTCCATTTCCTTGAAAAGCATGTCTTTGGTTCCCAGTGAGTTTCTTAATTTTGCAATGTCATTGTCTTTCTCAAGAGTCATGCTTTCAATCTTCAATTTTGCTTCTTCAAACTCTAGGAAAACATCCTCCAAGCGTGATCTATATTCAGACACTTCAACTTCAAGAAATTTTCTTCTGCTTTCTTCATGAGCTAGGGCTTGGTTGCACATCTTTAACCGCATAGTAAGGCTCTCTGAGATTCTTGTTTGAGAATCCAGGCTTGAATGCAGTGAACATATCTCTTCAAGCAGCATTGATTTCTTACTCTCCCATTCCACCTTGCTTGACTGGAACTGGTCTTGAAGCCTTTCATGAGCATCTTCAAGATGTTTAAACTGTTCATTTCTCCACTTCAAACGATCTTGAAAACTACTATTTTCCTCTTCCAGTTTCAGTAACATATCATCTCTCTGTTCTAGCTCTTTGGATGCCTGGGCTTTCTGCTGTGCTTCAACACACTTTTTCTGTGAAACTGATAAGAGTCTTTTGAGACCTTCAATCTCCTCATTGGCAGAAGAAATCTTACTATCCAGATCTTGGGTTCTTGCAGTTGCATCATCTAAAGCCAACACCAGCTCTCTGTTTTCTCCCTCCAATATTTGAATTTTCTCACCATAATCAACTCGAAGTTTTTCATTTGCAGAACTTAGGTGCCTAAGAAATGATTCTTTTTCACGCAAACTGGATTGGAGATCCTCATTCTTTTGCCTCGTATTAGATATCTCCTGGGACTTGGCGTTTATTTCTCCGGCCCGTTTCTCAATCTGCAACTTTGCTTCTTGAAATTTAATTAGTTGTTCATTGTGAACCTTCCTCAAGCTCTCACACAGCTCGCTTTTAGTCCGGCATTCTTCCTTAAACCTTTTCAACTCTTCCTTAACTTCATCTAACTCTTTACAAACTCCATCCATTTCTTTGCTTCAGAATATGGATTATCAAGACTGCCTGATGATTTAGAAAGGTAAAAATAATGAAATTGACCGAAATGAAGAGTTGTATTCACATATAATATGCAAATAGAAAAAATTCTTTACTAGATGAAACAACAACAAATAGTAACTGAAAAGGCAACTGTCAAAATTAAAACTTAAAACCGTTCAAAAATCCATACAAGACCATAACATTTACAATAACCTTTAAACCATTTATGACTATTGTATGGTGTCTGAATTATAAAAGGGGTTTTGATTTTCAACTTGTTTCTTAACTAATACTCTCTCTATCCCAAATTATAACTCGGGATTTTAACTTTTTAAGAAAATGAATGTTTAATATTTTATATTGAAAAAATAAAGTGAAATTTTAAAATTACCCTTACAGTGGAGTGATTTACTCCTATACAAAATTCTGACATGACACTTCAAACTTTGTCAAATTCAAATTCATGTATTATCATAATAGTTAAAGTAAAATGGTGAATCCTACATTGTGGTTATTTAATTTGTTCTCCAAATTCAATGCGAAGGTCAACTGTGGAAATTTTTAAAAGTTACACATCCAAAAGTGAAAGTGGACTCACATTTGGGAGGGAGTAAGTCCACAACAATTTCATGTTTGTTGAATTTAAAGCCTGAAGACATATACATACATATACATGAGGTTTTCCTTGCCGTGTATATCAACTACTGGTATAATTAAAGAAGAAAGAGAAATATATATTTGAGAATCTGAAAGATGAATTAAAAACCAAAAATCACCTTTTGATTATATTTTCATGAAGGACAAATGGCCATGGAATGGAAAGAACTTTAATCCGTTTGTTTCGGAATAAAATAATCTTTGTAAAAAATATTTATTTTTTTTAAATAAAATATTCATTTATTTTTACTTTGTCGGTGTTTGGCAAAGGTTTATATCAAGGTTGAGGTCGAATCCATCGGGTAAGGCATGTAAAATTACTTGTCGAAAATTAATGGGTAAGTTATTTTTGTTAAATTTTAATAATTCTTTTCTTTGTAAATATTTTACGACAACCAAAAACTAAAAAATTTTAAAATATTTTACGTCCAAACAAACAAACAGAGCCTTAATGAAGGAGAATGAATACATCTCTTATGCAAAATGCAAGTGATGGTGGCTTGGGCAGACTCATGAGGCGAGATTGTTTGTAATGCTGTGATCTAATCATATCGTTGCTGAGAAAGCAGAGGAACAATATGAATAATTTTTTAATTACATACAACAGTCTTTTCCCAAAAAAAAAAAAAAAAAAAACCAGCTTGACTAAGATATACCGTTATTTTGTGTGCAGTTTCAAGCAGAGCTACTGAGGCTTATACAATTATTAGGCTAAATGTTGAATTCTTCAATACTGTAAAGCAAAAGCCAAAATAACCAAAAATATTAACATATGCCATAAGCACATTTTTCATTTTCCTTCGTTTTTCTTTAATTTTTTATTATATTTACACATATTATTTAAGTTGTTCATAGCACAAAGTGGTTGATGCTTTGATGACAATAAGTTGTCAAACAAATTCTTATGCAATAATAAAGAAACTCATCACAATGTCAACAAATTAATAAGAAACACTAGATCAACAAATAAGCTGTTCATGATATCCAGAAACTCACAACAAATTAGCTGTACATGATATCCAGAAAATTAACTGTTCGATTGCAACTAAATTATCGTAATAGAACTTGAAAAATCCGAGTCCTAAAATGAGTTTGGTGTCTTAACGTCCAATTTTCTCTTATTTTCCTATGATTTCCTATCAGCCAAACAGATCGCAGACGAACCAGAAGAAACCCTAGAAAAGTATAGATCCCGAGAGAGAGAGAACGAAATACAGAGAGATTAAACTTGAGAGACATTTACCTGTAAGTTGCGAGCAGAGTAGAGATCGGCCACAATTTTGAGAAGCAGCTTCGTTAGCTCGGTTTCCTTGTTTCTGCTGTTAGAAATCAGATATGTTAGAGAGAGAAAGAGAGTATTTGAGAGAGAGAGATGAGCTGTTAAGCGGGAAAGCGAATCTGCATTTTGGAGGTTTGAAATTTTCCCGGTGGTGCTTTAGCTTGGTAAGTAGTACTACTATTTTTTTTTTCTTTCTTTTTTTCTTTGTTTTTTTTGCGTTTTCTAAACTTTTCATCGAAGAAAAAATCATCCTAAAAATTCTTTTTAAAGTGAAAATTTGTTTTCTCTCTGCATGTGTACAATTTATTTATATAAAATAAAAAATAATTATATTTAAACACACACTATTGATTTGTTTCAAAAATCTACATATTTGTATGTATCTATGTGGCACCCATCAGTTTCATTACAAATATCTGCATTATACGAAATATTTTTACTTTGAAAATGCAATATCATTACTTTGAGAACACGACACTTTATTAAACTTCAAAGTAAAAGTGTAACATTCTTAAATGAAAAGTATTGTTCGAGTTGAAATAATGGTGTTGCATGTGCGTATTTGAAGGAATAGCAGTCTATCCGACTCGATTGCACTGTGAACTGATGGAAAACTAGAAAAGTTTATTCATGTTATTGGTTGCAGATGATTAGTCTAAGCATGGAGTTTTAAACATTTTGTAGGCTTCGAGTCGAGTGTTATGCTTTGATTTGGGTCTTATTTGATCAATTTTCTCAGTTTTTACTGTGACACACTTTTTTTCAACATTTCTTTTTAAGTTGTATTTGTATTCAATAGCTGTCCATTTAATTACTCATTCTTTCTCATGTTTTTAGGATTGTAACTTAAACTAACAAAGCTGAGTTCAAGATCGATTTCAGAATTCAGAATTCAGAATTCTAAATTTATCAAATGAAGTGGCCCTACCAATGTTCAGACTCGAATTATTCACTGTCGAACCAATTTCTGATGAAGAGTTCAAAATTCTCAACTCAAACTTAACCAAATTTGTGAGTTCATAAAAAATATCCTTAAATAAAAAAATTTATTGGTGCACTATTATTCTCATCACCAAATGGTGCAGAACTCTCCCAACTTATTTATTGAAAAACATAATTACGAAGTAAATACTTCTCAACTTATTTAATAAAAAAGCACATAATTGAGGCTCAGAACTTGCTTCATGAACAAATACGAACTAAAAACCAAGTGTCAATTCGATTCATTTGAACTTAAGGGGAATATGTACCCATGTATATGATTTCCCTTGTATATGAAATGCGCTTTGTAAAAGAAACTAGTACAAGTCTGTACAATTCTACAAAGAATATGCACTTCCCAAGTAATATCTAATAATCTTCAGAAAACAACACACTATCAGAATGCAACAACAAAATAGGTGTACAGACATGAAATTCATGCCATGTGCAGGACTTGATATCAACTCTTAAGCCCTTTCTTCAATCAGCAGTGCTTCGAGTTCCTCTCGGCGCCGTTCCAGTTCCTACAATTGTTAACAAAAATATGTCAGCACTTTAATTGCACGTGACCGAAATTTAATTAAACAAATAAAAAACAAACGCGTTGTGATTATTACATTGACTAGTAAGGTACTAATTCAAATCAGAAGTTTAGATCTCTGTGCCTCGCCTTCCACAACAGGATGATATATATTCTACCATGACTGATATGTGATATCCCTGTTTATATTGTGTATATTCGTTTCCCATATATATGAACATTTTAATGGCTACCCTTATTGCTCACCCGCCAATCACAGCATTTTTTATTTTTCCGATGATACCTATGGCACCATTTCCTGTATTATGAATACTAGGAGACAATAGTTTTCCATACCACTCTATATTTCAATAAGATATCAAGAAGCAGAAGCACTGACTCAAATTTAGCGGAACCGAGCGTTGATAACTAGTTGCTTAATAGCTTCAGATATCAGTCATGACTCATGAGTCATGACCGACCTCCAAAACACTCAAAGGGACACATGGCACGTACACAGTAGATCGAGATTGCTTAAAATGTGGCGTCATTAAAGGAATCACATGCTGAAAATATCATCGTAACCCTCCGGTGAACCCAAAAAAAAGGGTCAAATTAGATGGTTTGTAATGATCTCTGATTGTACTACTTATTCATGAACTATATATGTCAGGTGGGCCAATACTAGCTGGTTGTCCCATCTTCTATATGCAAGGGACAAAACAATAAATGAGATGCTGTTGCACGTGGGTTGCAGACTGCAAACAATTAAAACATAACATAATATTTTACCTGCAAATCCCTAACTGCTTGCTCCGCCGTGATTTCTTTCTTCTGGCGAGAACGTTTGATAAGGCCAATGCACAGAATTCCCTAAAAATTGGCATATAATTAACAAATCAACTTTACAAAAAACCAAACCATAACTGAAATCAGAAGCTGGTTCCTCAGTGAACCCCAAAGGACCACATTCTTCACCAGGTCATGAATATCATACATAATATTACCGACACCCAAATCTTTCCTTTTAAAAAAAAAATCCTACAGAAAAGAATAAGAAGAATGTAGGCAATTTGTGCCCCTGAAACAAAAGCAAAGTGAAAAATCATAAAAAAAAAATTCAGATAGTTAACTAAGGAACAAAACCCAATTATAACTTGGTAACAAGTCAATAAAAACCCAATTCTACTCAACAGGTAACTCACAATTAAACATTGCAAACATCAAATTCAAGTAAACCATATAAAGAGGCAATTTTTTTTACAATATTGAGGCCAGCAGGCGAATATAAAAAATTTCCATACTAATCTAGGGATAATTAATGGTTTCATGAGCTTACCGCGAAAACATAAACCACACCACAACCGAGAAGTATGTAGCTTGCTATGCTCTGGAGAAGAATGAGCGCGTTCTGATCCTCATAGTTTTCAGGATAAGCCTTTGTCATCACGGCAACACTGAAGGCAACAAGAAGCTATAAATTCAAATGAACTAAAATTCTGGGGCTGTGTGTGGCAACATGAATGATTATTTAAGTGTCACTTTATGAAAAAAGGTATGTACTCCAGATTCATAATAATTCAAGTCTAAAGCTATTAGTTAAATATTTTATGGATAGGCTACTAAAAATTGTGGGTTGTAAGTCGCAGTTAGTCAAGAAGAGCATCTAAGTGAGCTAGCTTCCTGTAGAATTATGATTGAGTCAAAATACGCAACTGAAACCCTAACTTTCTGTAACTAGGTCAACCAAAAGCCCACTCGCGATTCCAATTACTGAGAAATATTTTCAAATATTTCAGTAGGATCAGGATTGATTATACAATGTACTTAATGCAAACACGAACAACACGGAGGGAAGGAGATAACATAAGGACGCAAAACAAGTGTTTACTTAAAAATAAGACGTACAAGATCTGCAGCATACCCCTACCGACCCAATACTCCAATACCTGAAACATGTTGATTAAAACTTAAAATTAGATAATGCAAGCTATCAGAAGATTGTGCACAAAAAGAATGACTTTGTCATAAAAGGGGCCAAGCAATGATTTATACTTTGTCAAATACCGGCATTTGAAGACAACAATTACAGTATGAGTTATACAGATTTCCAAATTAAAATTACACACACACACACGAAAAGAAAAACATAAACAAATAAAGAATGAAGCATTTAATGTCATTATATTCCGTCTAGTAGACCAAATCTGAATGCTGTAAAATGTATAAAAGTTGACATCAGTAGCAAGTATTGAAGCTTTTGAGTAAAGAAGTCGTCAATTTTCCAGTTCTTTCTCATACAAATCCACTCTTATAACGTTCCAAAAGGAAATGGAAGGAAAAGATAGGTGATCTTTTTGAAATTACTAAATGCAAATGAATCTCAGGACTCCTTTAATTTTCTTATACCTAGCTCTATAAGGAAATTGAAGCAGTAGCTGGCACCCCATTTTGTGCCAGGCTGTGAAACTTAGGCTTACTTTTTGGATTTCTTGACGACAGTAACAAAAGCACACATCCATCACATCTGGTTCAGAGAAATTTGAAATTTTAGAATAGTCTCCTAGACACAATTAACACTTAAAATATTCCATTTGCAACCTAGGCCAGACCTCAAGAGGTGATGAGATGATGAAAATACCTAGAAGGTCAAATTTTGATCTCAATTTTCAGAAACTATTCCGACGAAATTTTTAACACCTCAAAAACTTTCTGGAAGTAAATGAATAAATCTTCCCAGTGATCTATTACAAGTTTTAAGTAATAAGTATTAAGGTGTGAATTAAAGATTCATCAACTGTAGCATGTTTGTCCTTTTTAAGGTATTCTGCTCATATCTCTAGAACAGTGGAATTTTGTGTTCAAACCACTAATAAATTAAATTTCATGAGCCTTGCAATGATAAGTGGCTTGCAGAAAATTGAATTTTTTTTTTAATAATAAACAAATTGCAATGAGAGTAGAAAAAGATTAAAACAAAAGCAAGTCAACACATGAATAACAATGCTGGATGGTCAGTATTGCAGATCCAACAGAAGTTTTGACTTCTAAAGTAGCCATCTGGGCGCTATAGGGGCTGGATGGCCAGTACTGGAACCAAAAGTCACTAACCCCAGTTTTAGTCCTTTTTTCCTTTTAGGTTTAGGTCCGAAGCATGACCAACTTGTACTGCTTGGTGCTTTATTTATGATATCAGTGGTCGATGGATCTAGAATCCTAGATAGGGATCAAACATTACCCTGGTCTCTAAAAAAAGCCTCACCTATAAATACCGTCTTGTACCCTCATATACAAATCATGCATTCTCCTGTAAACATATACACGCCATACAACTCATATACACCCTAATCAGGAGTCTATCCTTGTCATATGACTCATATCTCACCATATGACTCTTCAATAACCAACAACAAGCCTCTTTTGGCCATTAAAAATAGGAGATCGAAATCTAAAAGTAAGGAAACTCGTGAACGCACATGTAGCAAAGCAGACTGTTCATAGTGATTTAAAGATTTTCAGACGTAATTTTTGACCAAAGTAATTCAGAATCATTTTGATATATAGTACTAAAGCCAAACCTATGACAGCGCCTTATATGGCCAAGAACTTACAATTTCCTTATTTTATTATGTTTAGAATAAGAATTATTGTGGATCAATCATTAGTGGATACACATTATATCAGGTTTTTTTTTTTTTTTTCTCTTTTACTATTATTATTTCTAGATCTTATTCATATATTTGAATGCTTTATGATTTGCCAAGAATATACTAGATACACAATTGTTAGGAATATGTATTCTGAAAATTTCAGTCTGCACCTATTACATAGTAGTTAAAACAGCACACTAGCAACTTATCATTTCTATCAAGAAAATTCAGCATGTGAAAATAAAGTATTAAATTTCAAGCTAAGTATTGGTATTAATTGAAACAACACTTGGAATTCTTCAACCATTATATTGCAATGAAATATTATCCAATTTACTGTAATAAATGAAAATTCATACTTCTTGGAACAAAATAGAGCTTAAAGAAAATAACCTTCCAGAACTTCATGATGAATCCCCATTCCGTTTCAGCAACAACCACAAGGATTGCAATCACAACCGCGTAACATCGAAATATTCCGTCAAATATCTACAATAAACGATGACATAGTTATCATACAAGCATCTAGAAAGCTAAAAATAGAAGTAAATATACATCAATAATAGAGTTCTTATTTAAATTAGTATCATATTTCACACAGAAATTACTCGTATAGCATATATAAATGTGTGTGTATTAGCGTGTATGAATTGAGAGAGAGAATACATCTGATACGTTCGTGAAAGATCGGATGGCAGAGAGGACATTGACGACAATGCAAAGAATAGCAGCCAGAGCAGTTATGACGCTGAAGAAACGGCAAACGATCAGTAAAGCGTCGGGTCTGGCTCTCAGTCTGACGTTGGTGTTTGAAGAAGAAGGGCTAACTCTCGGAGAGTTCCCTCCCTCGGCGCTTCTTGCCATTTTCTTGTACTTTCTCGAGCCCAAGGAAAAATTTTCTGCAGCTCCAAACAACGGCAACAAGAACCCTGGGTTTCGAATTCTTTTTCTCAGACACTGTCTCTCTCTTCGCAGAAAGTCCCCATCTGTGGATTTTGATAGAAGGGGTTTTGTTAGAGATTCTTCACCTGCTGGTCAAGAAATTAGTTTGGTGATTGAAACGTGGCAGTTTTGTGGTGGAATAATCTACACGTGTCAGTTGGGATATTTGTTGGAGCATATCGAATAGGCATTTATTCATCAAAATCGGATTTTGATGAAATTACATCCGACAACGTCTAATCCAATAATATCTCGGTGGTTAGTTGAATGCAATAAATTGTTACGGATAATAAGTATAATTAATCTGATTTAAATATAATTACATAATATAAAGTATATAATATGCTCTAAGTACATTATCAAATTCTATAACATGTATAAGTATTATTCACCTAAAATGTTTTTACTATTATCTTTACTTCTTCCTTCCCTCTAGTTTCTGTTTATTTCCTTGTTTAACCTATGGTCAAACTTTTTTTTTTTTATTTTTTATTTGTTGTTGTTACTCTTCCCCCATCTTCGATAACATGTTTATCAGTTATTCACGGGTCTCTATTCAGGAGACGAGCTTAATATATTTCGGATCGGCTCGTTTGCTAAATAAGTAGTTTCGAAATCGAGCAAATAAACACAGTTCTTGATGAACAAATTGAGTTCAACTCGTTTTAAGTTTAGCTTGTGTTCATTCGTTAAGTAACCTTGAATTAAATTCGTTTTACGTTTAGTTTGGATTCATTCTTTAAGCAGTTCAACTCGTTTTATGTTCAATTTAGATTCATCCGCAATAGCCATTTATTACCTTATATTAGAAATCGTTGTAATAGTCAGCCTTATATGTCCAAAGCCATTCCTTATATGGGTTAAAAATCCATAACATCCTCTCTTATTCAAACTCAACAAATATCCTCGTTGCCATTAGCACCGGATCAACAATTAGATTTTTTCTAAACACACTTGTCACTTGTCCTAAGGAACCAAAAAGCCATCAAATATTTTTTGGAATTTTAAAAGCCATCAAATATTTATAATACCCAAGCTGACCTTTTTCACTGATCCGAAAGAATCCATGACAGCTAGCCCTATATTTGATGTGGTCCATCCAACACATCAAAGAAATTAAAACCTTCGACCATCACATCAGTAGTGGTGTTTTAAAAATCATTTTCCTCCTCCCTTTTCAATGGATGACGAAGGATCTTGCAATCAAACAAGGAATATGATTGGGAATCCCTTATTGTTGCTCCACATATGCAATATTTATATGTAATTGCATAAATATAAAACAGAATAGAGGCACATTGTTGCTCCACGTTTGCATCTCTCTATATACATAGAACTATTCTCATCCATCCAGTCTTGCACGTCAAAATAGAGACCAAGAACATGGGGAGTAAAGAAATGGAGATAGAAACAGAAGATGGTAAACAACCAAACGGTTCGATCTGTGGGTTTGAATCTCTGCATACCCTCCTACAATCTTCCCTCAGTCCCCAAGCCTTCCAGGTGATTATCTTTCCATTTGCTTGTCAATCAATTAATCCATATATTAATTTTGTACTGATCTCAGCTCTGATGTCGAAAAATATTCCATCTAGCTTATTGTCTATTTGATTTATTTCATATATATGTGGAATTAATTTTCTTGTTATGTTCTTCAGATGTTCGATAAAAGTCTTAGAGAAAAAAAAAGATGTTCGATAAAAGTCTTAGCTGTATTTGTGGAATGCCCTTTTGTCTAAATTTAGGAAACAAATCGACTAGTAGTGTTTCTGGTTTTTTTAGTTTGATTGAAAATTTTGTTTTACAGGAAGTCAATCGCATACTTCTGGGCCTAAATTGTGGAAAAACAGTTGAATCTATTACACTTCCAGAACCTGCTAAAGCGCTCTCTTTGAAGCATGATTTTGATCTCCAGGTAGACTTTTAATATCATTTGTTGTTATAACAATTTTGGTTTAGAATCTTTTTGGAGCATGAGTCTCATAATAGAATAGAACCCATGATCAGCTTCATGGTATATACATAGCATGTTGCCTATGGCCTGGCTTTGACTCAATAACTACTAGGGTAGCTTGGACATTCCCAAATTTCATACTATTTAATACAGCATTGAAGCATTTAAACCATATCAAAATATGGAATCATAACCATGGTGTACTAATGACTGATAAAATTGAATGATAGATTGTTATTTACATACATGGTGATCAAATATGATAAGACTCATTAATGCTATGAAAGGTCCATTGGTCTCATCCTAAATGCTATATAAACATGATAGGATGATCTATTTCCATGTGGTGTTAATCCCTTTAGAGGATTTGGTAGATTGGATCATTTGGCTGTTGGTTTTCGGAAAGAGGGGGGATGGATAGGGGTATTGAGCTTAACCCTTTAATGTGTCTCACTTACTGTGGTTTTGGCTGGACTTCAATTGGGCTATGTTTGGCGGGCATGTAATTGGAGCTTTGGAATTGGAATTGGAGAAAAGCAACTCAAAAAATTGAACCAAAATTTTCTCTAATTCCATGCCACCAAACACAGCATTAGAGATTTTCAGTTGGACTCTGTGCTTGAACTTAAACTCTGTTAATGTGTCTCACTTAATGTGGTTTCAGATAGACTTTGCTTAGAGATTCTCAGTGGGATGCTGTACTTGTTTTCTTCACAGTGAATACCTTAGATTTCAATGAACATATTAATTCACGTGTTCAAATAAAACTTCAGCGCTGTAAACTATTGCTTATGTTATTAAACTTACTTGAATAAACCCATTTAGGGTGGGATTATCGGAACCTCCCAAGGGAGGGCTAAAGCCAATCAGTCCAATGAGGGGATTATGAATTCATATTTTGGCAGTTTCGTGGTTTTTAGATGAGATTTCCATGATAAATGATATCATATGAAGCCCATTTGAAGAAGGGGTGTGCGGAGGTATTCCCAGGGTCACATTTTAATGGAACTAGTCGATTTTCTTATTAGGCAGAGTGCTTGACTGAGCAAAAACTTGCTACAATGGCTGAACTATGTTATAGTTTATCAGTATATTTTCACACCAGAGAGAGAGAGAGAGAGAGAGCTGAATTTTATACTAGAAATTGCGTAATCATGGCACTTCCATTCTGTTGGCTAGCTGCTACCAAAGTTACGTGATTGGATTTCATATATTTGATGGCCCAGGCTTGTATTCTAGTGAAACACTTATGCTTTTATCCCTTTTCTCTGCTTTAAAGTGTTCTGAATTTTGTTCCATTTACAGGCATTCTGCTTTAATGCTGACAAGGAGTTGATGAGAGAACCTCGAATAGTCAGGGTTGGTCTTATTCAGAACTCTATTGATCTTCCTACAACTGCGCCCTTTTTGGACCAAAAGAAAGCAATCTTTCAGAAAGTGAAGCCTATCATCGATTCTGCGGGTGCTTCAGGAGTCAATATATTGTGTTTGCAAGTGAGTCATCTGAATCATCACCTGAGAGTTAACAGTTTTCAAGATTGATTTTTCCATTGAAGTTTGAGAATTAGCATCCTTTATGATTGTATGCAGGAAGCATGGATGATGCCGTTTGCATTTTGTACTCGTGAGAAAAGATGGTGCGAATTTGCAGAGCCCGTTGAGGGAGAATCAACACAATTCCTTCAAGATCTTGCACAGAAGTATAACATGGTCATAATAAATCCAATTCTTGAGAGGGATCTGAAGCATGGAGAGACCATCTGGAACACTGTTGTAATTATTGGAAACCATGGTAACATAATTGGCAAGCATCGGAAGGTAATGTTATAGTAAACTATTTCAGTTGTTTATTTTGGTTGTTTTGTTGCTGCTGCTGCTTTAGTGTATTTTTTGAGGACATTCTTACCATGGCATTTGCAGAACCATATACCCAGAGTCGGCGACTTCAACGAGAGCACATATTATATGGAAGGGAACACTGGGCATCCTGTGTTTGAAACAGCTTATGGAAAGATTGCAATTAATATATGTTATGGGAGACACCATCCTCTAAATTGGTTAGCTTTTGGCTTAAATGGTGCAGAGATTGTTTTCAACCCGTCCGCTACTGTTGGTGCCCTCAGTGAACCAATGTGGCCTATTGAGGTTATCCTTTGTTTCACTCTCTACATTTTACTTGATCCAATTAATAGATTCCCTTGTTGTTCTTGCTTGTTGGAAAGTGTCTCCACTGAGATGTAGTTCATGCTAAGCTCCTATGATGAAAAATTTATCATGAAATGCTTTCATTAATGATATATCAAGCAATGGGTAGTATGTGATATATTTAATATGACTCACAAGTTTTGAAAAGAAAAGAAAAAAGTAAAAAAATCTTGAATTTGGTCTAGTGGAGGGTTGCCTATTAATAGTAGAAGCCATTACAATTTACATACGGAACATACCATATATTAAAATTTTACAAGCCTAAAAAGTACGGCCGATTCTATAATTTGAAAATTTTCTTCAGTCTTAGATTGACGATTGTTATGGATGGTTTTGCAGGCTCGTAATGCTGCAATTGCAAATAGTTACTTTGTTGGGTCAATCAATCGTGTTGGAACTGAAACTTTCCCCAATCCATTCACTTCAGGCGACGGAAAGCCTCAACATGCAGATTTCGGGCATTTCTATGGTTCCAGTCATTTTTCAGCACCAGATGCTTCATGTACACCATCTCTATCCCATTACAGGGATGGGCTGATAATAGCAGACATGGATCTCAACCTCTGTAGGCAGCTGAAAGACAAGTGGGGGTTCCGAATGACATCTCGATACGAGTTATATGCAGAAATGCTTGGCCGTTATGTGAAGCCAGACTTTGAGCCCCAAGTCATTGCTGATCCTTTGTTACATAAGAACCCTTCATGAATTCAAGATCAGATTACTTTTTATCTGACGCGAGGAATGGAAATGGGATTGTTATAAAACAATTTCTGATGGAAAATAAACTTGTTTGTTGTTTATAATTGAATAAGAATTTGTTGTTCAAACTATGTCAATCAGCATCCCTTTGTAACTGTACCAGTTAACCATTGTTCATTGGTTTGCATGATGAGAACAGTTAGACTGTTGTGTAAGCCACTGGAAAACAATTAGATGGACATCTGAAATGGGAACTGATAACAGCGATCATGATGATTGTTAATATAATTTTGGATAGAAGATGACTGAAGCACCAGAACGATCTTTATTCAAAACCCAGAAATTATTCTTTGTACATACTCTAATGGCAGCATACGCATTACATATCATTACCGTGCTATCTTACTGGATCCCTCTGGTGATGTCCAGATTGCAAAGCAAACAGATGTTTATAACACTCATATAGTTCAATTACACACCACCATTCTATCATTTTACCATAGGCATACTCTCGTATGATACATTACAGCTTGAAGTAGTGGTATATCATGGCTTCTTTGTTGCACAAAATGACACTTCACTTGCTACCTTAGCTCCCCTTCCTTTGGCCATGTAAAGCCCTACATGATGCATCAGCTCCTGCAGCGGTTAAAATAGAAAACAAGGGTTGTCAAACGAGAGGATTAGGGTTTCGTGAACGAAAACATGGGTGTCACTTCTTGTGTTTGAGAGGGGGGTCCTAGTATACATGAAGAATTAAGCATGTATGGTCACAAGCTAACTGAGTCAGATGGTATCCAGTTGGATTGTCAACCTCGATGTCTGTCAGGGTCTTTTAAGTCTCCTTGTTGCCTAGCCAAAGAGAACAGAGGGCACAAAGCCTCTGTACTCTGCATATTTCTCAAGATGACTTGGTTATTTACATTTATATGTTTAAGCCACTGAGTCAAGGGTGGGAGAGCCCTAGATTTGGTTTGGTAAATTAGCCCTAAGCTTATTCTAGGGTTGAATAAGCTTAGGGTCATTGCTCAGTGTGGTCCATGTTAATGCCGGAGGGCCGGACTGGACCAAGCAATGGCTCTCTCCTTTTACTAAAGAACTGCACAATCAAAATCCTTAAGTTTTGGTTGCTGGGAGGACAATTAATAAGATTGGACTTGTGGTGAAAAACTTCTTGTGTCATGAAATGGATACCTTGAGACCAGTCTATTACAAGTACCTGGGGATGAGCTATGGCATCTTTAGTGGTTCTTGCGACAGATACTGGAAAATCAAATGTAGCACAGGCGCGAGAATACACCACTACATCCTCCAGAGGGCTTAGAAAACCGCGATTCCTAGCTGATAAAGTCGAGCAAACAAAGTCCAGCACACAGATGTCTGTGCATATTCCTACCACCAATAGCTTCACAAGAACATCAATAGTTAATATCATTGTCAGTTATCATTCTATTGTATATATAGTGGATGGTATTCTTATATAATCTTTTTTTTTTTTTTTTGCGTACAAAAATTCAACAAAGGCCAAGAAGCCAAAAAAACTAGAAAATGATGCTAAGACAACCAGAGTGTAAGAGGGTTGCTATTCTTATAGAATGTGAAGGGTGTAGTATCCACATCTACTTGCTAAAAGGAGAAATTTTATACTTACAAGTTGTATGTTGTTGGTTTTGACCCAATCTACAAACACATTAGAACCATCCTCCTCAATTGATCCCAAATATCCATCATAGCAATCCTTGCGCCTGATTGTCACATTTGGTTCCTTCTCCAACCATTGGAGAGCTAGACATTCATAAAAGGAAACATCATCATCACACACACATACATATGAAGATGCTAGATTCCGACAAGCATGTATGCATGTTTTAAGCATAGGATGAAGTCAAGAAAGAAAAAGAAAAGAAAAAAAAAAAAAAAACTGGTCAGTGAACGATACTCCCATCTTTGCATGCAGGATTTGAGAAGGATCAGATGTATACAGTCTTACCTCCCCGGGAAGACAAGAAAGGAAAGACAGAAAAAATAATTACCAGGAACTAAATTGGATTCATCTGTGCCAGTGATACAGTGAGGAGGATAAGGGTGCTCAAGTTTGTCAGGGTGATGAGAATCAAGAAAAGCAAGAACAGGCCATTTCTTGTCACAGAACACTCTTGCCAACCTTGCTGATTCATTGATCATTTCAGAGATCTGCCTGTTGGGTTCGGTTGGAGCCTGAAAACAATCTCAATCATATCAAAAGCCGAATAATTGATTGTAACTAAAAAGAAAGGGAATTGGTGGTGAAGAAAATTGACCAGATTTCCAGCACCAACAGTACAGAAGCCATTGATGATGTCAACAAGAACTAAACCAGTCTTGACATCTTCAGATAAGGAGAATGATTCCTCTTGAAGGGGGATCTCATTCTTGATAAGATCAATTGTCTGCAGTAGCATCTTCTACAATAATTCAATACCACACTTCACACAGAAATCAGTAATTCAATAGGGAGTTGGATTCCGCAACAATTTTGAGGTATTTATAGAAGGAAGCGTGTGATGAAGCCGGTTATCCATGCGACACAATATAAAAAATGATAAGTATCTGTTATTAATTTAATATAGCAATATAATAGAGAAAAAAATCATATATATTTACATATTTTAAATTTAAATAAACACTATATTGTAACGCGTCATTGGCAGGAGAAATTTTTTTTTTTTTGGTGAAAAGGAAAGCATTGTTCTTAACAAATGCATATAAGATTAATGTCAAAAAAATATATAAAGTCATTACAAGGTTATAAAACTTAAGTTTTCATTTCACAAGTAACACACAAAACTCACACAAAACTCACTAATCCATTCATGAAATTTCCCTATTTTGGTATCTATATTGTCTATATCCTTTTATAAAGAAAAATAATTATTACACTAATTACGAAAAATGAATTGCTTGACTCACAAAAGAAAAAGTTTTGCGTTCAAATTCTCATAAAGACATAAATGAATACATGAGTGTGTTGTACTGCATAGAATGACGAAAGGGCGGCACACTGAGCAAGTACGAGAAATTGGCCCCTCTCAATCTTATTCGCAATTAAAGAATAAAAAGCAAGCAAGCTATGCCCTGTCCTAGGGCTAATGATTGTGGTTCTAATCCCAAGCCAAAATATCACAAGTACCGCTTCAACTAGGATCGTCGCAAGATACATGAGTGTGTTGTATTGCATAAAATGCACACTTAATCCACTTACAATCTAAAAATGTCCTAAAGTTTATTTGAGGATATAAGTTATTCAAAATAAATACTATGCGGAAAATTGATTTTTCAATAGAAATATATAGAGATCTAAGTTAAGACGAGCGCTGGTTCCTAAATTTACTAAGGGTTATCCATCGCAAGATACATGAGTGTGTTGTACTGCATAGAATGCACACTTAATCCACTTACAATCTAAAAATGTCCTAAAGTTTATTTGAGGATATAAGTTAATCAAAATAAATACTATGCGAAAAATTGATTTTTCAATAGAAATATATAGAGATCTAAGTTAAGACGAGCGCTGGTTCCTAAATTTACTAAGGGTTATGGTATATTTCATAAAAATAAAAATAAAATGTTGAGTTACTAAACTATAATATCTCAAAATTCAGAAATTAATATATATATATATATATATATATATATATATATATATATATATATATACCTTTTCACTTATAATATTCACTTATAATATGCTCATTGAAAAGATTATTATCAAATATATATATATATACCTTTTCACTTATAATATGCTCATTGAAAAGATTATTATCAAATACTATCAACCATAGGTTTCCTTTTATATAAGGAACCTTTTTTTGTATACACCTGTTTGTCCTTTTAGTAGACAAGTCACTATGACCTAAATTTCATATGATTCCAAAATAATTGCTGCAACTTCAAATTATTGAAGGCTGATTTAAGAAATGACGTTATCGTTGCACAATATTATTTGTGATATTACTATTTTAATTAATTGAGCGTGACCGTCAATCCTTTGTGACATTTGTTGTTATTTTCATGTTAAAAAATAATAATAAATACATAAAATAGATTGATGAGTAAGAGTTGATGTGGATCACATGTCTCATTCTGAAAAGTCGTGCAGCCAATAGTTGTATTTGTGTTGACAACGGGTTAAAATTTGTTAGACCATTTTTCCATGTACTATCCCACGCAGTACATACAAAAAAACTAGCTTGTTCGACGATAACGTTTGAATTAAAAATTATTTTACTTTTTTTAATTATTATTCTATAGAGTTTTTACTTTATTTGATTCTTTTTTTAAGAACCTTTCCAAAATAAAATCATTTGTGGGTCAGATGAATCATTGATGATATATAATTAGGGTAAGAAAACATGCATATCACACACTTAACGTATAAAAACATAGTCTTAAAAGTTTTAATTTTGTACAAATAAGTAAATTAATTAAATTATTCTTATTAAATTATTTTATAAAATATATAAAAATAAATAATTTTGTAAAATGACCGAAAAAGACACTTTTGGAAGATGCATTTCTCGTGTAAAAAATACCCCTTAAAGTTTCAATCTGATGCATATAAGTCCCTCTGACAAATTTAAACCCTAAATTAGCTAAATTTTCCTTATTAAACCATTTTATAAAATATATAAAAATAATTAATTTTGTAAAATGACTGAAAAAGACAGTTGGAAGATATATTTCTCGTGCAAAAAATACCCCTAAAGTTTCAATCTTGAACAAATAAGTCCATCTGATAAATTTAAACTCTAAGTTAACTAAATTACCCTTATTGAAATATTTAATAAAATATACAAAAATAAATAATTTTATAAAATGACCATAAATAATATTATCGGATGGCCCTGGCAATGGACAAGTAAAGATAAAAATATAAAATAAAAATAAAAGTATAAAAGAAAAGTAAAGATAAAAATAAAAAATAAAAAACAAAAATAAAGTGGAAACTAAAGAAAATAAAAATTTTCCAAAACCAATGCACACTGATATTGAATTTTTTTATTTTTTATTTTTAAACAGTATTGGTACGAAAAAAATAAAATAGTAGTGTTGAGGGTGAAATTTACGCGATCCGATACGGTACTGTTTCCCTACAAAGAAGAGAGTAGAAGATCGATGAATCTTGACGGCACCGGTGTGGTGCCTGCCAAGAACTCTCCAACGATCAAGTCAGTCACCGAAGGTCTAAAAGAAATGCAGGAATTTAATAATAGTTTTTTGTCGTACCTTATTGTAATACCCCTAATTTTCAAAAGGATAGTCTCGGTACTTTGGTTAATTGTTTTCTGTTCATTAATTGTTTTTGGTTCATTAATTGTTTTGAATTATGTTTTCATATGTTTTAATTGGTTTTTATTTATTTGATTTCCTTGCCTTATTTATGTTTTTTGAAGTAATTGGTTGGTTTATTTGTTTCTTTGGGTTTAATTAATTTATTTGATTTATTTACATTAATTATGTGTTTAATTGAAATGGTGTTATATTTAATTCTTTATTGTAAATTTAAATTGGTAAGTGTCTTGATTTAATAAGTAGGGTTTTACAATCAGTGTGTAAGCCGTCGTAGGTTTCTCAGTATGTTGGATGGGCCGGTTAGGTTTTCAGTTGGGGCTTAGGGTTTAGTAAAATCCTATAAATACATGTTAGATGTTTGGTTAGGGTTTGAGAAACATAACAAAACCTATACGACTGTGGAGACAAAGGAAGAACAGAGAGGGTTCACGTTGGTTTTCATCGGAACTTTAGAGACGGCGTAAAGATTTTTGGACAAAGATCTCAAAGGCAAGTTCTAACCTTACTCTCTCCCTTATACTCGTGTTCTTTGCATACTCAATGGTTCCAGGATGAATTACATGTTTAAAAATAAAAACGCTATCTGTTTCATGTTTAGAGTGTAACTGAAACTGAAATTGTTTTAAAATTGTAAACTGTTTAAACTTTGAACTTTCTTGTTTAATTCTTGGTTTAATCCATATTAGTAGCATAATAAGGACTGAATTAAGAGTTGGAATCTTCTGGGATTAAGTTAAACTCTCTGAAAACCTATACTGTGAAGTATCGGAGACGTAAACGGCGACCGGAGAGGAGAACACGAAGAAGATGAGGGAGAGAGCCGGCTCCTATTGGATTGGAGCCGGCTCTCCTTGGACTGGAGGCGGCTCCAATGGTCTAGGAGCCGGCTCCAGGGCCATTGGAGGCGGCTCCAATATTCTGGAGCCGGCTCCAGGTTTTTTATTCGTGGGTTTTTGATTCTATTGGTTGTTTTTCCAATTTTTCAGTGATTAGGCTTCCTAGTGATTGTTTTAATATGTTTTAGTGGAGAATGAATACTGTAATGGATGGTTTATGAGTGGTCTAGGGTAAACATAAAAATGCAAAGACCAGATTAACATAGAATTGGACACAAAGCAGTAATCATTAGGATTACATGTAGTTAATTACGAATGTCTTGTAGACTGTGTGGATTTGGAGTTTCTAATTTCTTAATTATATTAGAAATTTTCTGTGAGAGCTTGTCCACTCGAATTATATGTTCATGGAAATAGAAATTATGCTAAAAATTTATATTTCACTGAAAATTAGTTGATGATTAAATTTAACGGTTAGTGCGGCAAGTTGTTGGACAGGAAACTATAAGTATAATAGATTACTTATATTTATTTTGCATGCTATAGATTTGAGTGAGAAAATATCTATTTAGGCTCTGTTAATTCTATGGAAACTGGGAATAGGTCATAATTACAAATAAAGCCCTGTATGATCAAATTATGGATTCTGAATTGGCTTACTTAAGCATGTTTGTTAATCTGTTCTAACATGTTTAGTTTGGAACTGTTGGTATTGACATTTATATGGTCATTATTTTATCAACTGTGAATGTAAGTAAGCATGTTGATTATCTATTTCAATATGCATAGTAAGGAGTAGTTGACATTGATATTTATATTTTCAATGTGAATCAATTATTGGTATTTTTAAGAATGGTTGCTAATGCATTCTATTATGTTTAGTATGGAATTGTTGATATTGTTGTTATTATTATCGATGCTTTATCAACTATTGGACGGATTGGATTGTATGTACCGGTATGGGACGGTGACATACTAGGTTTGGATTAGCTCAAATTACTAAGTCCTACCTATTTTGGAGTAAGGGCACGGGTTATAAAATACAATCCTCCTTATATATATAAGTCGGTACGGTTGAATACGCCGAGTGACTTACTGGATTTCTTGTGGATGGATAGAAACGGAGTTTAGATATACTTTTATGTTACCGTGTCATGAGCTTGAGTCTCAGTGTCGACGGTTAGGGTGCGTATATGCAGTTGGATGTGTAGCTGACTGTGAAGGTTGAGGTATACCCTGTTTAGGTTTAGGTACTCATACCCACTCAGGTGCGTATTGTGTGATGCCTTCTATCCAGGTTGAGACCTCCTTCATGGCCTAGCGAGAGTCCAGTAGTGTGGATATATTTATGTACGGATTATTAGTTATTGTTGAACTATTTAGTATGTACATGCGTATCGAGTC